GCCTTTGCACATCGTACGGCGGCTCGACTCGAACAGTGGCGGACGCGGAACACCTGTCAATGGCGCTAATGGCGTGGCGCGCATCACCGTCACGGCACCGGGCGATGGCGTAGAGACATTGCGGCGGAAGCTGCAGGAGGCGATGTCTGCCTCGTCTGAGCGCGGGAGCGGGCAGGTTGTCCTGGATGCGAGTTTCATGCACTCGATGATGGGGATGCTCGATCAGCAGCAGGACGTGTACAGCGACCTCAGGCGGAACTTGGACGGTATGAAGGTGGGTTTCATCTGCCCCTATCCGCCCTAGGCGCGGCATTAGTGGAAACGCAGTACTAATGCGATGCTTGCGACGTTTAGAGGGCGAGCAAGCAGTACATAGACGGCCTGACGGTTGCGCAGACTGAATATGACAGGGAGCTCAAGGCCAGGAGGGACGCCGAGGCGGAGGTGACGCGGTTGCGTGTCCTCTTGTCGGGTCAGGCTGTACGCTTGACCGCGATCACTGGGGAGTCCAAGCGACAGGAGGCGCAGAAGCAGCTCGCGAGGGATATGAGCGACCAGATGTCCTCTCTCGAACGCGATCTCTCCAAGCTGAAAGTCGAACGCGATATGACCATGGCCGAGGTAGAGCAGCTATCTGCATCTCGATCGTAAGTCCATTCTTGAAGCTTGAGCGTGGCATGACGTAGAGAGATTGCGGATGCTCATTCATCCTAATCTACGGTTACAGGTCCTCTACCGTCGTCGAGGGCGAGGAGGGAGGTGCTTCGCTCACCCGCGCCTTGTCGATGCGTTTCGACAACATCAAGGTCCAGTACCAGCACGAGCTCATTCCTCTGATCGAGCAGCGCGAAGCTCTCGTTCGCGAGATTGCAGAGCTGCAGGCCTCCCGCGACGCCATCCTCGAGGAGACGACCGTCCTCAACAAGCGCAACGAGGAGCTCGCCCAGCTCAACGCCCAGTACCAGCGCCGCCTAGAGGCTGGCGCAGTATTGAAGGACGACAACGTTCTCCAGGAGCGCCAGACCAACTCGTTCGACCGCGCACGGTCACCTCCTATGCTCAACTCGTCTGTCTCGTCAACAACGCTTGCGCTCTCTGAGGAGTCTACCGAGACCAAGTTCATCAAGATCACGAAGCCGGATGTACAGGATACGCCGGCACAGCAAGTCAAGCCTCGGTTCATCAAGTGGCCAGGCTCGCGGGCACCCAAGGAGAATGTCGCGGTTGTGAACGGCGCGGACCCGGGCAAGCCAAAGTGGCGCACGGAACACGTCTTCCAGCAGGTCAGCGTTCTCAGGGTTGCGAGGTGCGACCACTGCGGCGACAAGATGTGGGGATCGCAGTTCCGGTGCTCAAGTGAGTCGTTTTCACTCGGACTGTCGCGACGTGCTCGGCGGGATTGACGCATGTGGCGCAACAGATTGCAGTATCGCGGTGCACACGCGCTGCATTCATAACGTGAATCTGGCATGCCAGCAACAGACTGCGCCCGCTCGGGACGAGCAACAGGCACCCATGGCTCCACTGCGTGAGTAGCTTACATTAGACTTTAACTGCGCTTGAGCTTGATTGACAACGTCCTGTGTGCTCCGGTTGCAGCGCCGTCCATGTTTGGTCGTGACCTGATTGAGCAAGTGCATGCGGATTCAAGGGATGAGGACCGCATGGTGCCCGTTCTCGTCGAGAAGTGTATCGATGCTGTTGACAGAGTCGGTGAGTAAACCTATTGCGCTTTCGTGCGTGGAAATGTCTGACCCTCGTCGAAGCTCTCGAGTATGAAGGTATCTACCGCAAGACCGGAGGGTCGGGGCAATCGAAGATGATCACCCAGCTCTTCGAGCGCGGCGAATACGCATCCTTCGACCTGAACGACTCGGATCGCTTCAACGATATCTGCAGTGTCACCTCTGTCCTGAAGTCTTACTTCCGGGCACTTCCGAACCCGCTGCTGACGTTCGCGCTGCACGACAAGTTCATCAGCGCAGCCACGATTCGCGAGCCAAGCATGAAGCACAGCACATTCAACGACCTCGTGCACGAGCTGCCTGCGGAGCACTACTATACGCTCAGGGCGTTGATGCTCCATCTGCATCGTATCTGCGAGCGGAGTGAGCGTAACCTCATGCACGCGAGGAACCTGGGTGTTGTCTTTGGACGTAAGTGCGATCCCATTGCTCATTCTGTCTTCATGCTCATGATAGTCTGCGATAGCAACCCTCATGCGTTCACCTGATCCCGGTGCCGAGTTCAGCGACATGGCGGGCAAGGCGCTCTGTATTGAGTGGCTCATCGAGAATGCGCCGCGCATCTTCGGCGGCGAGCAGTCAACCTCGGAGTGACCCTACTGCCCGTAGCTATTTCTTATTCCCTATTTGTTCACCTCAACGCTTCCCACACCTCTTCTCTACTTCCCCTCTTTCCGGTTCGCTGTCCCAGCGTGATTGTAGCCCTGTAGAACACAAGTAGTCGCGCATCGTGTACCAAAAGTCCCACCCTCTCCTTCCGCTGACATGCCTTTTGTCTTGTTTATCTTCTTTATTCCTGTCTCTCATTCATTGGGTTATATTTTACGAGCCGATTTCACTCCGGAACACTACGACTCACTCACTACGTTCGCCTGCGGCGCAGCTTCCGCTCGCGCGGGGGATGCGGCGTTTCTTTCGACTACAACTACCGCGCTGGGGCAGCAGCACCTGCGTCTCCAGATTCCTTCTCCCATGACATCGGTATCTAATGCCACGCATCGCAGCATCTCTATACCCGAGCTTCCATGAATATGTATACCATAACTCCGGATCCGTATAAGTACCACCATCCCAGGAGTGGGAGTCCGAGACGCGAGGAATTCGAAGTCAAGACGGCGTGAGTGCGGGAGCACGAAAGCAAGGGAATCAACAATAGAAACAAGACTCTGAGCGTATCCATATCCACGAGAAGACCACAAGAGCATCACAGCTGCTGCTCGCGCGACCGCTTGCTGCGCGTGGTGCTCTCGGGGTGCAGCGAGCAGTAGAGGAAGTGACGGCGAGGGCCGGAGGTCGCACTGCCGGCGACCGCAGGGACACGCGCACCCAGTGGTGCCGTGTCCGTCCCGCTGCCGCGCACACCGAGGGAGAACATGCGGTCGAACACTGCACATGCGGCGATATGGGTGAGCGGAGACTCGGACGGGACATGTGCGGCGAAAGGCTGACTCACAGCTGGCGATGAACGCCTTTGCGGTCGTCTGGCAACTGAGATGCGTGAGCGACAGAGGGGGGCTGACGCCCTCGAGCGTGCGCAGGTAGCGGAAGACCATCGACGGTTGGCAGGGTCCTGCAGGTATGGTCAGCGGACGTGTCGGGCGTTGTATGGGCGACGCACCGAAGCGGAAGACGGCTTGATAGGCCTGCTTCCACTTCTCTTCGAGGAGGCGGGCACAGACCGTGGAGTCTGGACATGTTGAGCACTGGGACATATTCAGATCTGCTGAGCGTGGAAAGCAATGACAACTCACGCATTGGTACTCCTTTGCGACCTGGACGAGGCCGAGCTTGAGGACCCGTTCAAGGAACCATGTGCGTCTGCGGGGATTTCGTCAGCGTGTGCACCCATGACCGTCCGGCGCAACTCGCCTCTTCTCCAGCTTGAGCAGTGTAGCCTGACTGAGCGTGCCGAGCTCCTCTTCGGACCAGCCTCCTGGGTTATCCAGTACGAACCGACTCGACTCGCGGTAGAGCTCCTCCTCTTCGAACAGTTCTGCTATCCTCATGGCTTTAATCGGCCGGCCAGCTGCGTGAGTCAGGAGGAAGGTGAGGCACTCCTTCTGAAGCGCCGAGACGTGCAGTTTGTGCGAGATGTTCATGAGGCCCTCGACATTGTTCCAGGTGATGGTGCACACGAGACTTGAGGGAATCAGTATCGACGCGTCCACGTAGAACTCCAGACTTACTGCGGGTAAACGAACTTGAGGAAGTCGTGGAACGTGCTAGCCTACAATGCCGCGTGAACGAACCGAGTACGATGGTTAACGCAATGCCTTACTTTCTCTTCCTTGAGGACAATGATCGCATCTGGACGCTGTTCCTTCGGCTTCACCTGCCGCTTGAGCGTGCGCCCTTTAGTCGGGGTGGGTGGTACGGACGTCTTCCCGTCGACATCCGGGGCCTTCTCTTTCTCCTTCTCTGACGCAGTCGTCGGCGTCGTGGGACTCGTCTTCTCCAGCTTACTCAAGGAGTCCTCTCGCGCCTTCGCCTTGTCCTCCGAGCTTGCCTCCGTGTCGCTCGCTTCGCCCGGGGTGATGTCCACGTCGAGCTCGAGCTCGTCCGGGTCCATGTCCGGATCCATTGGCGCGAACGTGATCTCAGAATGCCTCGAGAGCGCAGGCCTCCCTCCTGGCACGGACGGTGGCTGAGAGATGGTTATGACGGAGGATACGGACCGTGGCCTCCCCATCTCCTTCTCCGTCTCCGCCCAACCGCCTGAAAGAGCGGCCTGGAAGAACGCAGAGGCAAAGTACAGGACCTCCTTGTGTGCCCTTCACAATGCAGCGCATCTCAGTCTACGAACTATGCTCGGGGGTCATGGCGCGCGCGGGGATGGGTGGGGAGGTGCGTACCAGAAGGTTGTGGACTCGACGATGATCTTCACATTGCCGGGGAACTTACTGGCGCGGGTAAAGGTCTCGTCTATCTCAATTGGGTCGTCCATGTCGCCGTTGGTGCTGAGTGAGGAGGACATCTCGTCGGACTCGCACTCCTCGATGTACCAGGATGGGGACCCAGCGGATCTGAAGATGCCGGCAGCAGCAGCGTGAGTCTCGGTGGGAGAGCTGAGCGAGGCGGAGGGGTTGTGGCTGGTGAGGCCTCTCGAGTTGCGCGCGATGAGTATATGCGGCGGATTCATCGTCGTCGCTCGTCTCCAAGTTCGTCCGCGCAGCGAGCAGCTCTACCTATTCCTCCACAGGTACTCTGAATTAGTGCACGTATGATCCAACTACTTTATAGCGTCAACGACGACATGGCGCTATAGTGTAGTGGTTATCACTTGGGATTCTGATTAGTCAGCGGTTCCCAAGACCCAGGTTCGATCCCTGGTAGTGCCTATAGAGCGATTTCGAGCGAGGTCTTTTTGCAAGTTCGGTGAGCCAGAGTGAGATCACACAAAGCGAATGCTCGAGTACTGCACCCAGAGATGTGACAACAACGCAAGTCAAGCCTATGTCGAGTCGACCTTCAGTTTCACCGCCAGCGCGCGGTCAATCTCCTCCTTCGAATGCTCCCACACGCGCTCCCTGGCTTCGTCAGAACCGAAGTGCCTCAGGTTTCCGATATCGTCTCCTTTCTGGTTCCGCCTCGAGAAGCCTCGTTCAGTCTGGAACAGCGCGTAGAGCATATACTCTGCACACTCTTCCGGCGCAATTGCAAACACATTCCAAAGGGCGATGAATTGACGGAGAACCCAGTATTTGGATTGCAAGATGGGCGTCGCAACTGCTCCGGGGCAGATGTGCACGAATGCTAGGTCAGGATTCTCCCTGATGTGGTGCTAACAGAGTAACAATCAGTGTCAGAGCGTAAAAACTCGGGGAAGAAACAGCCCACACACCTCGAACATCAGGTCAGTATAGGTTCCAGACGCCATTTCAGCTTCCAGAGCGATGTACCTCTTCTTCAGGCCGAGATTCTTCAGGTCGATTGGCCCACCATAGCCTGCGCGCAGGATAGACATGACCTTCGCAATCTCTCCGGCATCCTTCGCCTGGCGCAAGAGCGGAAGGAGGTCGTTGACGAACTTCCAGCGCGCGTAATAGTGCAGCGCGAGCCGTTTGTCGATGCCCTCCGCGGTCTCGTCGCGTCCGCGGAGGTTGGCAAGCCCGGGCGAAAGTACAAGGAAGTTGATCTTTGGGAGCCGTTCGCGGAAGGAGGTAGTGGTCGCCTGGACGTTGCGCATGAGGAAGGCATCGCACGAGACGAACTCGTGCTTTGCTTCAGGTTTCGTGGGCTTCGGGAACGACGCGATTATCTCGTCTGCAGCGCTCTTGTTGCGCCCGACGATGACGATATGGGCGTTGCCCTTGGTATAACGTGCGAAGGCCTCCGCACAGGCGCGTCCGATACCGGATGTCCCGCCCACAAAGACGGCAATCGGGAAGTAGGCGGGGGCGAAGGCTGCGTTCGCAGCCCGTGCAGCGGTGAGAGCTGGCATGGGTGTTAGGAAGATCGGGATGCGAAGTGTAGTCAAGCATATGTATGCTCATTCACATTCGAGAGCAATTCGTATGACGCGTCAGTCCGCCACGGTCTTGCACGACCGTGTTGCCGCGCACAGTGACATACGCGTCTCGGCCGGGTTGTACATCATTTGTTGGAACGTAACGGCGGAGTCGCGGTGCTCACATGTCTCGAAATCTTGATATGTGAGATTTGCAGATGTGGTTGTCTGCGCAAGGAGTGGGAATGCGATACAATACCCGTCGGTCACGACTCACTGGACTCCGACGGCATCTGGCAAACGATTCAACTTGTCCGGCGTCGGTTGGTCGACGTACCTACTACCATGAACATGTCGAGACCATGGTCCTTCGACAGTGTGTAACTAGATGCGAGAGCATGAGAGTCGGCGTTGAGGGCATACTAGTCGGAGATTCGTGGAAATGAGATCGAGCAGAAGAGGACCGGAAGCGTCAGAACGCGTCAGTGCCCGTCGCCCAACCAATTTCGGTGGCTGTACACGAGCATACAATACTTGGTTGGTATCCCACCGCCTGGCCACCAACAACCCACATAACCAAGGATTCCCCACTATCCGGAAAAGACGAGACCAAGTTCGTTGGCGAGACGACGGATCTTAAGCACGTGCGGTGTTCCCCGGGCCAGGAATATGTCGACGAATTGATTTATCTCTATCTTCCTCCACATAGCACGAAGATCAGGAAGGACCCCATGGTCGGATGTCCAGTCGATCCAGACGGCTTGATCATTGACCTCGTCGATGAGGACATTTACCCTTCGGACATCGTTGTGAAATACGTCGCGTTTGTGCGCGGTCTGGAGAGTGTCAAGAGCGGAATGGAACTGGAACACTGCCTGTGAGTATGAATCAATATACTTGTTCCTTCGACAACGACTCACAAGGCGCTTGTAGAGCTCGATATCGTTATACTTCGTCTCCTTCCCGTAAACCAGACGCTCGAAGAGGACTTGGAGGTTTGGCCCAGGGATCCACTCAAAAACAAGCAGCCACGCAGGCTCGTTCCAGGGCATGATGACCTGGCAAATCAAGGTCAACGCGTCGAATTCATGCAGACGTGGAAGAACCAACCTCGTGAACTCCGTAACAGTACGGCAAAGTACTCCCCTGGAAGTCGGCAAGAGATCCATAGCTTGCGACTTCACCCATCACAACGTCGTATGGAAATTTGAATTCGCGTCCCTCTTCCTGTAGGATTCCCTTGTCACTCATGTCGGGTCCCGGGAAGTCTCCATGAGAAGGTATGATGATCTTGAAGACGATCCTCGTAGGTGAGGTGGTGGGGTCTCCTGCGGCTGACAGTGCAGCGAGCCAGACCTGAGAGTTGAAGCGTCTCCCAGTCTGCATCGGCTTGACCAGCGTGTAGTCCGCCGCGACACCAAAGGGGAGCGCGGGTAATGGGCGTGTGGACGAGGGTCGGGCGCAAGAAGGTGAGGTCGGCGACCTAAGACTCAAGGTGAAAATCGTCGGGGAGTGACTCGGGTCAGATTCAAGGTCACCCACACCGCAGAGCGGGGTCTAACTGGCTTGTCGTCGCCAGCGTAGGATGCGGTCACAGTAAGCCGCCCTCGCCTGCTTATCGTCATACGAAAAGCCCGGGTTCCAATCCATGCTATAGACCTGTCGGTCGATGGAGGTGGGACGAGAAGGTGGATGGCATTTGTGACGAATGCGCGTGCGCTATCTAGTGCAGGCGTGGCCTTCGGCTGGCTACCGCCGAATTCTCCCAGGTAGTGACGAGTGTCGGCTACATGCGTTGTGGACCTGGAAGAGCAAGAGAGCATAGCATACTCTAGATTGATTACGACAAGCATCGATGTACCCATAGCACGCACAGAAGATTTCAACCAAGCGTCCCAGACCCTACAGTACCACGGCCTCCGTGGGGGCAGCCTCCTTCGGCCCGTTGTGCGCGCCGCCCGAGCTGATGAACGACTGCAGCCGCGGCGACACCTCGTACCCGCACTCCTTGAGCTCTTCGAGCGCGATGTTATACCGCGTGTCACCGACCGCGACGAGCTTGCGGATGATCGACTCGTAGACAATCAGCGGCGGGACCATGCCTAGGCTCTTCATCTCCTCGAGGTAGAAAAACGCGTCCTCGTACATGCTCTGCGTCAGGCAGAGGCGCACCATGCGCTCGTACGTAGTCCGGTCAGGCTTGATCCCAGCCTCCTTCATGTCCGAGAGGATGCGGTCGCCGAGTTGACGATGGCGCGCGTCGATGCAACCCTTCAAGAGGATGTTGTACGTGTCGATGTCCGGAGTAACCCCAAGCTGCGCGGCGCCCTTGTACGTGCCGATGGCACGCTGGAGGTCCTTGAGCGTCACGGCGGCCTCGACGACGACATTGAATGCAACGACATCGACGGAGTGGCCTTCCTCGCGGATCGCTTCGAGCTGCTCCCACGCGCCATCGACCGTGTCCGCGTCCTTCTTCACAAGCTCGAAGATGGGCAGCGCAATCTCCTTGGCGAACTCGATGTCGTTCTTGCGCATGTAGTCCAGCATCACGAACGCCTCCTTGATCTCGCCGTGGTGACACATCGCTTCGACCACAGGCGCAATGTGGTGCTCGCGCCAGACGATGTTGATGGCCTTCAGCGTCTCGATCACCTCCAGAGCGAGGCCAGAGAGACCGTGTCTTGCAGCGGTATGTAGGACCTGGAGACAGCAACCCTCGTCCGGCAGCAGGTGCATTTCGTTCACGACTTTGTGCCAGACCCGTTCTGTCCCCTCCGCCTGTATGGAGTTGAAGGTCAATCACATCGCTGTCATGTATGGACACTCACGTAGAGCTGTTCTGCGCAGCTGACCAGCACGTCTACCCAAACCTCGCCCTCTAATCGACGAATAGAGGTTGATTCAAAAGCGTCTGCCAAGTCCAGCGCAAGACGAGGGAAGCCAAGGTCTGCGGCGCATTTGACCACGGCGGAAGCGGTTTGAAGACTCGGAGACAAGCCGGCTGGTGCGATTTTTGATAGGAACTGCAGCGATAGTTCTAGCCGATCGGTCTCGGCGAAACGAGTGATGAGGATCTCGTAGGTCGTCTCGTTGGGTCGAATACTCCATTCCTCCATCAGCTTGACGTAGTTGAGCAGAGCAGGGATGTCTGAAGGATCCAGTGCCTGAACAGAAAAGGTCAACTTGTGATCTACACGAGTACGAGACTAGGACTATCGTCATGCGAAAGACAACATCGCAGCAAGTCCGCCAAAAACTCCGGTTGACAGGAAGATTGCCGCAGACAACCCCGCTAGACGGTCCACCCGGCCACCCTCCATCGTCTGAGCCATCTACGTCGCCGGCTGAACCGTCCCCGTCGCCCGCCACATCGTGCACGCCGCCCCTCCTGCAGCAACTGGTACCCGCTTGATCCGAGGCTCCTGCTGCCATGCGCGATATATCACTTGCGGGCCCAACGTGCTTGGATGAGGGCACAGCGCCGCGTCAGTGAGCGGAGACGGCCTGAGCAACTAGAGACGGTAATAGTAGCGGAACAGACGTTGAGGAGGTCAAGGCGGCCGCCACACAAAAGTAGTTGGCTGCGGCACCTGCGGGGACAAACTGACCCGTGCCTCTCCCCTGTTCGTCGGGTTGGCGTTGAAGCCAGCCGTTTTAGCGTGTGTCATGCCTCGCCCCCAGAAAGGTCAGGAAACGGACGGGGGGACGAGAGAAGACACACCCTATCACGTAGACTCGCTGTCCCTCGCCACTCCCAACCTTAGCACGGACGTCCGGTTTGCTCCTACTCCTGTGTCGGCTACGGTAAGAGCTGCACATATGCGCTGTTTCTGCCCTCTATCGGGGCATTTATACAACCCGGAGGACGCGTTGCGGGCCCCGCCCCGA